AACAAGTAAGAAGAAAAAAATATGCATGGAACAACATCCAAAAAACAACAAAAAACAAATATAAGAAAAATAAAGGAGGGGTCGATACTTTACAAATGATTACCGAATTTCGAATGTCTATATGTTGTTAGAAATACATACCATACCTCAGTATTTGCAGATGAAATAGTATGATATAGAGAATGGGCTTAAGGGGACCATCTTTTTTTTCAGTTTTTCGATTTTTCTTGCTGATTTTGATGAAACTCACACCCTTTTATTTAGACCTTAGCCTGACTAGACGGTCCCCTTAAGTACTGAAACTTACGTACATAGAATTCAACTTTACCGCTCTCCAAAGGATGGAGGTTGGGGAAAGTAGTTGGTGGCAGTGGTGGGATGCTTGATGACTTGGGGTCCACATCTCACATCGAGATAACAGAAACATCCGTTCCACATCTGAAAATAGTGAAATTTGATACATCTCTAGTATTCCTGTGTAAAACACACACACACACACACACACACACACACACACACACACACACACACACACACACACACACACACACACACACACACACACACACATACATACACATATACATGCACTTACACACACCATTTACACTTCAACAACGCACTAAACACTGCGGTAGGTACAAGCCTCATTTCGTTTATCATCTGTAGGAAATTTTTGTACAGACTTTATGAACACATTTGATACTTGGATAACCCAGAATTAAATAAATGCTTATATAAGTAAGAAAGAAGAAAAGTCATATTAAGGAAAAAACTAATACAAGGAATGAGAAACTGCGTTTTTTTTTTGCATGACATATCAGTTTACAAATCTATATGGAACTCTAGGCCTAATATGAAAAGACCCATATAACACAATTTGGTTTTCAATTGTGCCCCTTTATGTGTTCAGTAAAATTATGTAAATTATATTTCAGAATGGTATTCTTAAAACAATATTCTAACCACATTAAAAATGTATTTAGGGTAAGAACTAGAAATTAAGAGCAACGTCTTTGTCACTGTGATAATTGTTATGATTATATACCATAAGTGACCGTCGAATATGGGAGAAACATTCATAAACATCGGAAAGGAATGCTTTCATAAGAATGCCAACAGTGGTGTTGATTTAATCACCTGCCATGAGTATTCACCATTTTCGCAAACAATTCCCTATTACATTTGATGACATTCAGTTGATAGCAGCAGATCAACCAACTGTAAAAGTCACTCCTGCCAAACAACATCCATTAATGTATTATCGAGCCAAATCACGTCTCGCTTTTACTGCATTACACAGTATGGCTCATAGTCGACAGTGTCATGGATAACCTTGTCACATGTTACTGAGGAACCCGAGGAAAATTTCGATGAGGGCATTGTGATTTTAGTCACGAGTGCTTTTCGAAAGAAAAAAATTGAAACAGGATTGAATAATTTACGTCATATCGTCGGCGGTATGAACCTAATCGCCTCTCTACCTGGTACAACGTAACACTCAATGTAGAATCCATTTAGCATTCGTCTTGCCGTTGCTGTTGAGTAATAATGGGTCGCTGTAAATGCAAAAGAGCTGGTGCACATGTCCCAACTCACGTGCATCTCCCTCTCTCGCATTCCTTTCCACTGAGTACTTCCTTTTCTCGCAATACCTGTGGATATCCGTTTAGGATCTGAGAAATGGAAGGATCTATGACTCTTTTTTTTCTCTTTGCATACGTTTGTGGGTTCTTAATGGCCTTCTTACCGGGAATGTTGCGTCCTTTGGTCTGATGATTAAAATTCGTCGAAAAAACGCACATCCGCCAGGAAGTAAGTTCGTGGACCATTGATATGCAGTGCAAAATCAAACCAATGCATCACTGGGATGTGTCATACAGCAAAATAATGAATTTTCTAAATGGGAAGATATTATGTCTACTTTCCTGGCGTATAAGGATCACACACACACACATACATACATACAAAAAAAAAAAAAAAAAAAAAAATGGTCATGCCACCACATCAAAAACAAAACACTTGTCCATATTGAAAAGCCACTTTCTACCAAGACGTGCCCCTTGTTATAAAGTTTACAATTTTAGCAGGTTTGTGCAGTAATCTAGATCAGAATTTACTTTAGGAGGCTGAATTTTGGTCCATAAAGGAAAAGATGCTACATTCTTATTGGCAAACATTATGGGTATACATCATAGAATCAATAAAAAACAATATACAAATCTGGCAATGTCCTAAACTTGAGCAATCGATCAGTGTTGCCAAGTTGCATTTATAACACGTAATCATCCCAGAACATGCATGACAGATTTGAATAAACATCTACACCAACACAGAAACTCCATGAATACAAAAAAGAACTTGATATATTTCACCTCCAACTCGAAAAAAAAAATATCAACCATGATTCATTCCATTTATATTAGAACGCATTACAGATTTAATAACAGCTTGGCATCTCAGTGTGACCCACTATATATTGGAGTCCTTCGGCAAGGATGGTCAGTTGCAAAAACAAACCAGCAAGAGATACACAACCAATAGTGGATTACGTTCATCCCACAACAATAATTCAACAGAGGTCAGAATCGCGTGTTTAACTTTGGTCATGTATTTTTTGTATTGTATTTTATATATTTTTTTGTTTTATGTTTTTTTATGAAGTTATATTTTGGTCATGGAATAACTTCAGCTTTCTTTGCTATAACGTTTGTGTTTGTGTGTGTGTGTGTGTGTGTGTGTGTGTGTGTGTTTGTTTGTTTGTTTGTTTGTGTTTGTCTTACTCTACAGAAGTTTGAAATTTACTTTTTCTTCCACAGACCTCGTGCAAACAAGTGAACAGCACTTACTCCAATCACCATGAATAAAGTTGTAAGTATATATCCAGGCTTCTTTCTTGTTTTAATATGAACTATGTTTAAGGTTTTATGTATTTCATTTTAGTGAATCTTGAAACATTACCTTGATCTTGTAAAACTAAAAGTAAAGAAACACATTTTTAGTAATGAACGTGTTGTGAAAAAGTAGGTGAAATGCAACTATCCAACACTTTGATGATTCTAATAATAAAGAAAGTAGACAATAAGAAAAACGACTATGAACAAACGAAAATATAAACACCCATTCATTTTAAAACAGAAATAACAAAATAATCAACATACAAATTAAAAAAAGAACAAAAAAAAAAACATAACAAAAAAACACCAATAACCAACATTCTTCATCTATTTCAAACAGCTGCTTATCGTCCTGGTGCTGGCTGTGTTGACGGGCCTTGCCTGCGCTATGCCACAGGTGATCATAACACGGCAGAGAAAATTCCCCGGTGAGAGGCGTCTGGGTACCGTGAACTACGGCCAGTACCGCTTCGGCAAGAGAGGATACCAGAGGAAGAACCATTCCAGTAAGTAGGATTTTTGCCAGGTTTATTTGAGAATGTGTATGATGTAAATATGCATATTATATGTATATAAAGCTGTATACATACCCAGACTTATCTTTATTTATGTATCTGTATGCTTGCACTACTTAAAACGAATTGTGCAAGTGCGTATATCTATGAATTACGAAGTTATAACCTCTGTTGATCTCTCTTTAACAGGAAAGAAGAACTGAGAAGGAAAACACTATCAAACAACGTCATTTTTGGGCAATGACCCCTCGCAGACCAAAGCCTTCAAGGGGACTTAAAGGGAGGGAAAGAAAGGGGAAAAAGAGGGGAAAAAGGGGAAAAGGGAAAGGGAGGGCAGGCTTTGGTAAGCAGGAAGTAAACAAAATCCTTAGACTTTAGTAGGCGCCTCAGCAATCGTTGAAGACAGACCATATAAGTCGAAACGCCTCGTGGGGTACGCATTATCAGGCACCGCAGTCGCAAGCAGCAGCCAAAGAGGAGGACACATGGTAAGGAACACTGATGAAATACGTAATAGGGAATATGGGGTTAGGTGGTTCCGTTTCCCTCTCTCTTCCTTGCTTTTGTTTCTGTCTTTCTATGCCTTTTTTTGTGGAGTCGCTTCCATGCCGATTCTCATTCTCGTTGCCTTTCTCTTTTCTCTTCAGTTTCTGCTCTCTCTTTCCCCTCTCTTCTCTCTATTGTAAGTCATAATTTCTTGAAATATGATATACTTGCATCACTGTAAATGACAACTAGAGATATTAAAATCTCGCTTATGAGTTTTAGGCCACAGAAAGTACTAAACTTGAGGTAAACTTACACAATAATTCTTCCTTCACAGAAGCCAGTGACTGCAGGGGTAGATACGGCGGAACCCTGCCCGCTTCGCTAACACCGCTTTCTCATCATATTCCTAAAGGATTCATCGATATCCTATACCAATGAAGACTACGTTATCTGAAGTCTTGAAGTCTGAATATCTGAAATTTGGCTCAAAGTCTGGATTCAGAAGATTGTAGAGACTTCAGCTACAGTCTGAAGTTTAGCTCTACATCTGGATTCAGAAGACTGTAGAGACTTCAGCTACAGTCTGAAGTTTAGCTCTACATCTGGCTTTAGAAGATTGCTGGGACTTCAGCTTCAGACTAGAATGACTCCGTGTATAGTTGTATGGCTGTATTTATTTAATAGCACCGCTTATAATGGCTGTATGCCTGATCATATTTTCTTGTTATGTTACTGAATTGTCTGAGTGCGTGAGTTATATTTATCTACATTGTACAGAAATGAATCGCAAGTATTTGATATTATTTTTGCTAAACGAAGATTGTTATTCTTGTTATGTAATTATATGTTTTATATAGTTAATATATATTGTTGACTATTTTGTAAATACGTTAGTGTTGTAAATTAAAACACGTATTTTCTTAGAAGGTATATATTTTCACCCAAAGTACCGAAAGAAAGAAATTTTATCTTAATAAATTAATGACACTGTTTTTATTATTATTATTATTATTATTATTATTATTATTATCATTATTATTATTATTATTATTATTATTATTATTATTATTTAAGATTAACGATTCAGAAAATTTTAAAACGAATTAATGATAATAAAAAATAATAATAAAAAAACAGGTAAGAACTAAGAGAACAATATTAAATAAATGGATAAAATTGATAAATGATTAAGGAAAATTCACAATGTGACCTGACCTGTTTCCAAAAATTATATTCGAATCGCATTTTGATATTTTGCTCTATGCTAAAAAAAAAAAAAAAAAAAAAAAAAAAAAAATACCGCGAATTAAGTATTCCCCATCAATGTTTACAAAAAAAAAAAAAAAAAAAAGTTGATATTAAACTAATCCTTAGGTTAATATTGATTATGATAATCACTAATGGTACTAATACTAACATAAGCGATATTTCTTTAATTTTCTCTTAGTTAACAGTTAATTATGTTGAAATAATTCCGATGTCATAACGTAAAGAACAAATAAAAACAAAATATTTTAAATTATTATTATAATGTAAAATATCACGGAAAGAAAAGTGTGATTAGAATTACTTTAATAAATTTAACATCTTAGTAATGTTTAATGTTAGATTTGTTCTTAATTCACTAAACTGATTGGTATTAGTTCATTTACGAGAAAGTACATTAGGTTATTACCATGTGGTCAGTGAACCCCCTATAAAACCATGTCTAGAATATTAAGTCGGTCAACTTGTTCATATAAAATATACGTGTTTCACTGTCCGACATTACGTTAGTTGAAATACTTTCAAGCAAAATCTGTCCTAATGGGATTATATCTATTCGCCTTTTGTACTCATGGTATTAATTTGTAAGAAATCAAGTGATAAAACATTTCGTTATTGTTTTTACACGCATATCTCCATCCTTTTTAGGGAAATCGCATTTTCTTAATGATTTCGAAAAAAATTTCTCTCCCTCCGAAGTCGACAAGGTACCTTAACGCCAAACCTGGTACATCCCCAACAAAAAAGAGCAACAATAACACCAACACAGCAACTGCAACAGTACAAACGGTCTCTTACGTAACTCACTTAGCATGGCTCCCTTTTTGCAGTCTTCTACGACCCTCTGCCATACTACATGCGCCACACGTTTAGGCTGGTTGTACCCCATATCCTGGAAACAATGGGGAGAGAAGGAACATCTTTAATATCTCTATACATCCACACTTGTAAACATGCAATTCCACAATACATATAACAGAGAAGCTCCTCTATACATTGATAAAATAAGTAGGAACACTGGATTTATAAACAGATCAATTAATCCTAGACCAAAATTGCGACAGAACAACCTTGTTATTATTAGACCAAATATATCATTGATCCGAATGCCAAGCCAAGTGTGTTGCCCAAGCAATGTACTGCAGTTAATCATTAGTCTACTTAATATACAATGAATATTAAGAATGTACTGTATGTTTATGTGTGTCTGTATAAATACACACGCACACGTGTATATATATGCATACATACATATATATGTATATATATATATATATATATATATATATATATATATTATATATATATATATATTATATGTATATTATATATATATATATATATATATATATATATATATATATATATATATATATATATATATATATATATATATATATATATATAGACACACACACATAGACACAACACACACACACACACACACAGACTATATATATATATATATATATATATATATATAATATATAATATATATATATATATATAATATATATATATATATATATATATATATATATATATATATATATATATATATATCACACACACACACACAAACATATACATATATATGTATATGTAATATATATGTGTGTGTATATGTATGTGTGTACACACACACACACACACATGCATATATATATATATATATATATATATATATATATATATATATATATATATATAATATACATACCATGAGGGGGTGTATCCAAAACAGGGGGTCCTCCATTCAGAAAAGGAAATAAGATAATTGATTTCAAATTTATATCTAAATCGAATAAAAGGTGTATATCATGTTTGGTTTGTGTTCATGCATTCTACATTTTCTCAGTACTAGACCTTATACCTGAGTCTTTGGGACAGAATCAAGGCAGTATCACGTCACCAGACCTATGTGCGCCACTGTGATTAAGAAACTTATCGAAAGTTACGTCACCAATCTTAAGAAAGACAACAAATATACCTTTAACATTAAATACAATTAGGTTTCGAATCGTAATCCTATGAAACAAGTAGCCGCATCGACCTGGGAGCCCATTTACCCATTTTGCGGTGATCCATTTCAGAGCCTTTTTCAAATGATATCTAAATTTCAAAGGTGATTCTTCATAACCCATTGTGTAATATCAAAGCATTTTGTTGTGGTGAATCAGCCAGTCTTCAAACGAAAGCATCTGCATTTGAATACGTCAGAGCATGAGGCACTGTTATGCATATTGAATAGGTTAACAAGAAACGTAGCCAATGTGTAGATCTTGGAAAAGTTTACGTACTTTGAAATGGCATTTCGATCTGGTTTCCTTTTT